CACCAAGAGCACAACAGCGCCCTAATCCAGCTGCAGGCCAGGTGACACTGGGCCTCCCAGGCCCTGGTGGACGCAGAGCAAGCCTCACCTCCAGGGTCTGGTCTTATTTTTCTCTTGGGGCCCCAGGAACAGACTCGTGTCACCAGGCTGATGGAAGTTGGAGGGAGATGCTCTTTTTAAAGTGCCTCCCATGCTCCATGCTGAAAAAACTCCCCCTCACCGGTAGGATTAATAGACACCTTCCTACGCACAGGACAGTTAACACTTGCTGTCCCAGAGAAATTATTTTTATTTTCAAAAGTATTCCATTTTGGGTAAAAAATAATCACATACTATTTATTACTGGCAAGGCCTTAAATGTTAATTGATTCTGCTATCCTGATAAGAAAGCACACCCCACTCTGGGAGGCTAAGGCAGGTGGATTGCCTGAGCTCACAGGTTCAAGAGCAGCCACAGCCAGAGTGAGACCCTGCCTCTAAAAAACAGCCAGGCATGGGCGGCACCTGTGGCTCAGTGAGCAGGGCGCCAGCCCCATATACCAAAGGTGGATGGTTCAAACCTGGCCCTGGCCAAAATGCAACAAAAATAGCTGGGCATTGTGGCAGGTACCTGCAGTCCCAGCTATTTGGGAGGCTGAGGCAAAAGAATCGCCTAAGCCCAGGAGTTGGAGGTTGCTATGAGCTGTGTGACACCATGGCACTCTACTGAGGGCAATAAAGTGAGACTCTGTCTCTACAAACAAAAAAAAAAGCCAGGCATTGTGGGCAGTGAGTTACTTGGGAGGCTGATGCAAGAGGATCGCTTGAGCCCAAGAGTTAGAGGTTGCTATGAGTATGATGCCATAGCACTCTACCGAGAGCAACAAAGTGAGACTCTGTCTCAAAAAAAGAAAAACAAACAAACAAAAAAGCAAGCACACCATACACACTAGCAGAGTTAGGTAGATTGGGAGTGGGTAGCAGATGGCTCCTAGCCCTCTGATGTGATCTGACAGAAGTTCAAACCTTCAAATGGCAGAAGCTCTTGCCTGGCACCACCCTGCCAGGATTTGCGCAAGCCAGGAAACAGTGAGACTCTGTGTGTGTGTGGACACATCCCGCCCAAGTCCAGGTCAGCAGGCCAGAAGGTCATGGAGCAGCCCGGCCCCACTTGTTCTAGTAGGGTGGAAGGTCTAGATGTTCCCCACAGTGCTCTCTGCAGGATCAGTTCACCATCTTGGAGGTCTAGGGCCTGTCCTCCATGCTTGCTGGTGACACTAGATTATCTTAATGACCAGCCCAAAGGAGGTATTGGCCTGGTAAGGAGAGATAACAGAGTCGAGACTGCCAGCCACATATCCCTCCCTTAACAAACCATCAATGCCAGAAAAGCACTCAACTTCTAGAAGGCTGTAGTTTTATGAGCAAGCCCTGAATGAGTGTCCCTAAGGAGAGACAGTTAAATGCCAAGAGGTAAGATTCTAGGTGAAATTCCACAATGATCTTTCAGGGGTGTCCAACCTTTGGTCTCTTCTGCCATACGTTGGAAGGAGAGTTGCCGGGGACCACACAGTAAATGTACAAACACTGAGGAAAGCTGATGAGCCAAAGAAAACATCCCTGCATACTTTTTCATATATCACACACCACAGAGAAGCAAAACAGTCCTCAAATAATCTGCATAGGGCCCTTGGGCCGCAGGTTGGACACCCCGGGAAGTGATTCCAATGATGGTGCAAATCTGCGGATGCCTCAGCGCTCTCATCTACGAGCTGGAAAAGTTAAGTCAGCACTGAGACCTCACACACTTCTCCAGCTTCACTAACCAATCCCCAAAACAGGAGAAACGTCACTCATCGATGCTATAATAGGACAAAGAATTAAATTTGAATTTCTAGTCATGAAAACTAACAGAGGTATATACCATGTCAAACCCATCAGATCAGCAAAAAATGATAGGTCTGGTAATCTCCAGGGTTGGTAAATATGAGTAAGAGGAACTCTCCACGCTACCGAGGGTGTGAATCGACACCACCACATTGCCAATACCCAGCAAAATGGAAAATGCACCCACCTTAGGACACAGCGGTTAATTCTATTGCTGCTTTTACCCCAGAGAATCTCCTGAAGTGTCTCAGAGATACAAGAATGTTTACTGGGCGGCGCCTGGGGCTCAAAGGAGTAGGGCGCCCGGCCCCATATGCCAGAGGTGGCGGGTTCAAACCCAGCCCCAGCCAAAAAAAACTGCAAAAAAAAAAAAGTTTACTGTAGCACTGTGAGCCACATTGAAAAAGTATCTACCTTCTCTCAGTAGACAAATACTGTGACACATTTAAGAGGAATGCCTTAGATCTGTATATATTAACTTAGATAAATCTCACCAGCAGTGAGTAGAAAAGACAGGAGTTATATACATTTTAATAACATTGTTTACAGACTGACATAGCTTTTTTATTGTTTGTTTTGAGACAGTCTTGCCCTGTTGCCCAGGCTGGAATGCCCTGGCCTCAACATAGCTCATAGCAACCTGACACAAAGGATCATAAAGTGAGGAACAGCACAGAGGAGGTACGAGGTCCCCATCAAAGATGCAGAAACGGGCACAGGAGTGGGAGCTGACGTGGAAACACAGAGAACCTGCTGCCCCTGAGGGGATCCTCAAGGGAAAGGGAGAAGGAACATACCCACTCTGATCCCAGGGGAGCCTCAGATTAGGAAGCCCCAGGATTGTAGAAGGGGAGTATAAGATTTGAGGTTAAAAATGAGAGGATTAGGCTAGGCAGAGTGGCTCATGTCGGTAATCCCAGCAGTCTGGGAGGCCAAGACTAGAGGATTTCTTGAGCTCAGAAGTTTGAGACCAGCCTGAGCAAGGGGCAGACCCCATCTCTACTACAAATAGAAAACCTTCTCACACACAAAACATAAAACCTAACTGGTGCCTGTAGCTCCAGCTAGCTACTGGGGAGGCTGAGGCAGGAGGATCCCTTGAACCTGGGAGTTCGAGATTGCTGTAAGCTAGGCTAATGCCACGGCACTCTACCCAGGGCAACAGAGTGAAAAAAAAAGAGACTTTGTTAAAAGTCTGAATATGTAATGGGGTTAAAGCCTTCCTCCATCTCCTACTCCACGCAACCCAGGGGGGACTATGAGGATTAACTGGCCAGCAAGGACTAGGGTTACCTCCCATACCTCTTTCTTAGGCAGCTCCTGGACTGTACATTGACGGAAGCTGCCCAGTACAGACTGCCACCTGCCACCGCAAAACCTCAGGAGCAATATACACCTGAGTTCAGGAGCCGACTCCACCATCTCCCCTTAAATGAATCATGAGAAAGCGTCCATTTCCAATCTATAAAAACTCCCATTTCTTACAGTTCAATGTATTTCTAATCCTTTCCTTCTGCCAAACCATTAGGCAGCAGCCCTGTAACTCTACAGTCTGTCATTTCAAGTCCTTATCTCCCAAGGATGTGCTATTCTACATAATTGTAATGCATTGCTACTCTTAAAACACCCTACAGGCATCCCAGGGCCTCTGCAATGTGATCTCCCAGCACTTCTCTGTGCCACTGCCAAGGGCAATACAAAAGATTTGTGCAACTTCCCCTTCCAGCTCCTAGGACCAGAGATTAGGGAAAAAGAAGGAACTTGTCTAGGAAAAGGACCTCAGCCCAAATAGCTAAGTCAGCATCATGTGGGCAGTTTTTACATAAAGCCAAAGGGCTGCTACCCTCTCACTGCCTGACCAGTTTGGAAACAGGGTTGTCCTGAGCCAACATCTGAAAGAGGTGTGGGGAGCCAGGCCTGTGGGATCTCCACCTATTCACTAGGCAATACCCAGCTCTGGGACAGATGCCTAGCCGAGAGCGGAGGCCACTTTCCCCCAGGGAACTTCAACTCTTTCTTTGGAAAAACTACACAGGGTGGGCAGCCCAGCCCCTTCCGCTGTAGAATCTCAAGGGTGTAGGTCACCAAGGCAGAGCCTACAGGGAGCGGCCCTCCATTAAGGAAGGGATTCTGCATAAGAAAAGGAACAGCCCTCGCCAGGCTGCCACCTTCCAGGCCTCCTCACTGGACCTTTGGATTCTACTCATTCGTCAACATGAGTGACCTCAATTACATTCTTCTGCGGGGCCACCAGAGAAAGAGTCAGCTTTTCTAGGATACCAAGTGGGGCTTGGTTTCCCTTTGAACACCCTGCCCCTCCCTTCTCCTGTAGGTGTGGGAGTCTCTACTGGGTCAGGACTTGGAATATGAGGTGTGGGGTACAATCCTTATCCCTGCTCCAGCCAGGTGGCATCCTTGGTGCCTGGGGAAGGCACCCTCTCCCTCCACATCCCCAGAGAAGGGGACCAGGCAAGCCCCATCCAGTCTCCTGCTGTTCGCTCTGCCGAGTTTCTCTTCCTGTTTATGGATTTAACTCATCACGAAGCTTCCACCCCACCCACCCAGTTCAAGGTTCCTGCGTGTAGCAGCGGTCCCAGAAGCATGTGGGACATGTGCACAAAGGTGCCCAAACCCTTTGGAATAAGAGGGAGAAAAAATACATGGCAGATGGCAGGAAACATTCGGCAATTTGTCCTGAAAACACCGAGGCCCAGGGGCTGGTAAGCGGCTGGGACCGGGGCCAAACTCCTCGCAGACCTCTTTCCCGGGGCTCCCCAGCAAAGTCCTCGACCCTGAATACCCGCCGCCCGGTCCTGGGGTCACCCAGCACAGCCCCAGGGAAGGGCGGACGGCCGGGTTGGTGATTTTTTGCTTTTCACCTCACCGTGACTTAGAGGAGCGCGCGCCGGGCAGGGACAGGCCCCAGGGTCCCCCGCTCCCCTCCGGCCAAGACCCAGCGCCCCCACCAGCCCCCAGGAACGCCGCGAGGCCACGCCTGGGCCCGCTGGGGACGCAGAGAGGCCGACCCCGGCGCCCGCGCCCAGGCCGCTCCCCACCCGGGGCCAAGGTCACTTCCGCCGCCGCGGCGCTGCGCCCCTGCCCTGCGCGCCGCCCGCCCGCCCGCGCGCACTCACCGCGCTCCGCTGCCGAGACCCGGGCCCGCAGCCCTACAGCGAGCAGCCGATGCCGGTACCGGTACCCCGCAGCCGCAGAGGCCTCGGCGCCGCCCGGTCCTATTTATTTACTCGCGGCCCCGCCTCGCCCCTCCGGGTGCGGCTGACTCGCCACGTGACCGCGGCGGCCCGGCGCGCCCCCACCCGGGCTTCTCCTCCTCCCGCGCACCCCCACCCGGGCTCCCTCCCTTCCGCGCACCCCCACCCGGGCTCCCTCCTTCTCCTCCTCCCGCGCCCCCCTACCCGGACTCCCTTCCTCCCTCCTCCCGCGCAACCCCGCTCCGGCTCCAGCGGACCCCGAGCACCCCAGGCCCCAGTCTCCGGGACCCGCAGGCCGCCCCAGATTCGACACCTCCCGCTGCGCAGACCGGAGGTGGGGGTCAAAGCCTCGCCGGCCTTCAGGGTGGAGGAAGCCGGAGGATTGGGGTTTGGGGAGAGGTCGCTCAAGGTGGTCCCGAAGGCCTCTGCCGGGGCACCGCGCCCTGGACCGGTGCCTGGGCTAGGGGTTAGCTGCTGGGTTTCATTCATTCAGAAACCGCTGCGGGGCGGGGGAGGTGTGAGCTGTGGCCCCCAAGTCCCACAGAATAGCCTTTACAGGCTCTCCAGCTGTGCAGCAATAGTAAAAAAAAAAAAAAAATGGGTAGCTAAGTACCCAGGAGCTGCGTCAGAATTTCTGTGGAGGAGGAGGCCGACCACAGAAGCAGAAATCTGGCAGAGGGACGCCAGAGTCGGTTCGGACGGGGACACGCAGCAAACAGGTTTTACTTTGAGTTTATTTGGGGGAGTGCCCAGAGGCTGCAGGAGATGGTGGAGGAGGCTCAAGACACACCCCTGTCCAAATTCGCCCTGAACCTCTCTAATCTTTAACTTTGCAAGGTAGGTATGACTTTGGCATACTGGCACCCCTGATTTCTGCGGCTTCCCACACATGCCTGGAGCCTTGCAGGGCCCATCAGCGAGCTACGCCGACAAAGGAACCTCCACCTGGACGGTACCAAATTGAGAGTGGAAGGGGAGGCCGGGTGCAGTGGCTTACCCCTGTAATCCTAACACCCTGGGAGGCCCAGGCCGGGGGATTGCCTGAGCCCAGGAGTTAAGAGACCAGCACCAGCAAGAGCAAGAATCTGGTTGCTTGTACCCTCAACCATTCCCCAACAAACAAACAAATAAATAAATAACCTGTCTCTACTAAAAATAGAAAAACTATCCAGGCCTTGTGGCAGGTGCCTGTAGTTTCAGCTACTTGGGACACTGAGGCAAGAGGATCTCTTGAGTTTGAGGTTGCTGTGAGCTACAATGATACCACAGCACTCGACCCAGGGCAACAGAGTAAGACTCTGTCTCAAAAAACAAAAAAAGAAAACAAAACAAAAACAGTAGAAGGGGGAAAAAACTCTTGAGTACAAGGGTGGTTACTTAGCCCCAGGTGAATGAGGTGCCCACGGAGCTTATATGATACCAGTGAAGAAAAAGTTTACGCAGTTATATCCTGAGAGCATGAACTTTGAGTGCGTAGATACCTCATCTTCCATGAGGGCATCAAATAATTTTAGACCTCCCTAAGGAGCTCATAGGTGGCACAAATGGGGCAGACACAGATATACCCAAGATAAATCTCTTCCTCTTACCCCCCTCCTTATAGCATGACACGTGTGTTGTGTCCTTTACATGTGTTATTTCAATCTTAACCGCATTTTGGATCAGTGTCATTACAGAGGTAGAAATCGCTTTTTTTTTTTTTAGACAGAGTCTCAAGCAGTCACCCTATGTAGAGTGCTGTGGTGTCATCATGGCTCACAGCAACCTCCAACTCATGGGCTTAAGCAATCCTCTTGCCTCAGTTTTTCTATTTTTTTTTTTTAGTAGAGACTGGGATCTTACTCTTGCTCAGGCTGGTCTCGAACTCGTGAGCTCAAGCAATCCACCTGCCTCGGCCTCCCGGCTAAGATTATAGGCCAGCACCACTGCCCCTGGCTAGAAATTGCTTTTGAAATGAAACAAAAGAAAAACAAATAACTACTACCAAAGTACAGTTGGACCCTTCCTGGGGCATCCAGGAAAGCTTCATGGAGAAAGTAACACGCCATATAAGTGTGTATTCCTTGTTTCACTGAGATAGAACTGAGGCAGGAGGATTGCTTAAGCCCATGAGTTGGAGGTTGCTGTCCTTGTTGCCCTAACTAGATCTTAAGACACAGAAGGGCAAGAATGTCCCACCCATGTGGTTCCTGCTGCAGCACAGCACCCAGCCTTGAGTGAATGTGGGAATGAATGAATGAAATAGACCTTGAAGGCTGAATAGAATGTTGGCTGAATCCACTAGGTTTGGGGGTCAGGGGCTCAGGGAACAGCTCCCAGAACGTACAGAGAGGCCTTGACCTGTGTCTGTGAAAGCTGTTTGCCAGCTGAATATTGGAGAAAAAGGCCTAGGTTTATACCTAAAAGAAATAAAAACATGTGCTCAAAAAATCTATACCAAATGTTTGTAGCATTATTTGCAATTGCCAAATGGTAGAAACAACCTGACGTCCACTGACTGATGCGTGAGTCAACCAGATGTCATATTATCCACAAATGGAATACTACTCAGGTATAATAAGGAACGAAATGCTGACACCTGCTATGACACGCCTTGGAAACATTGTGCTAAGTCAGTCAGTCCCAAAGGACCGCACATCTTAGGGTTCTGTTTATGGGAAATATCAAAATAGGCTGATAGGAGGGACATAGATGAGTGATTGCCTCAGGCTAAGGGGAGGAGATGGGAAGGTTGGGAGGTGACAGCTAACCAGTGTGGGGTGTCTTTGGTGGGTAATAAGAACGTTCTACAATAGGGCTTGGTGCTTGTGCTTGGTGGTTAGGCTGCCGGCCACATGTACCAGGGCTGGTGGGTTCAAACCCAGCACAGGCCTGATAAACAAAAACAAAACCAGCCAGGCATTGTGGCAGGTGGCTGTAGTCCCAGCTACTTGGAAGGCTGAGGCAAGAGAATCCCTTAAGCCCGAGAGTTGAAGGTTGGTGCAAGTTGTGACACCACAGCACTCTGCTGAGGGAGACAAAGTGAGACTCTCTCAAAAAAAAAAAAAATGTTCTAAAAGTGATTGTCATGATGGTTGGACAAGCCTGTGAGCATCCTAAAAACTAGTGAATTGGGCTCGGCGCCTATAGCTCAACCGGCTAAGGCGCCAGCCACGTACACCTAAGGTGGCAGATTCGAACCCCCAGCCCAGACCCGCCAAACAACAATGACGGCTGCAACCAAAAAATAGCTGGGCTTTGTGGCGGGCGCCTGTGGTCCCAGCTACTTGGGAGGCAGAGGCAGGAGACTCGCTTGAGCCCAGGAGTTAGAGGTTGCTGTGAGCTGTAATGCCACGGCACTCTACCCAGGGGGACAGCTTGAGGCCCTGTCTCAAAAAAAAAAAACTAGTGAATTGTACATTTGAAATGTGCGAATATTACAGCATGTCGGTTTTATCTCAGTGAAGTGGTTGCAAAAAACAAAAGTTGGTTACCAAAGTATGGAGAAGGGCCAGTCCTGAGGGCTCACGCCTGTAATCCTAGCACTCTGGGAGGCCAAGGTGGCTGGGTTGCCTAACTCAGGAGTTGGAGACCGGCGTGAGCAAGAGTGAGACCCCAGTCTCTACTAAAAATAAAAAGCGAGCCAGGCGTTGGGGCTAACGCTCCTGGAGAGTCCCAGCTCCTGGACAGGCTGAGGTAAAAAGGTTTGCTTGAACCCAGGAGTTGAGGTTGCTGTGTGCAAAGGTGATAACCTGGCACTTAGCCTAGGCAACAGAGGGAAGACGATTATATCAACCTCTTAAGTTGTATTTAATTCTTGTGTGAGGCTTAAATTGATGAGATTTCATTCATATCATTTCTTCTCTGTATCCCAAATCCCAGCAGTGACCACAGTCTCTCAAATACACGTGATTGCTTGCCAGGGACAGAATTGGCTCCCACTAGGTCCACAGCCCATCTGGGGGATACTGTTTAAGCCAACTGGGACCATATGTGTTGTTTGAGTTTAACTAGCACCTGTTGGTCGAATCAATACTCTGCTCAGAGACTTGGGGCAGCTAACTCTAAAAGCCTTGAAGGTCTCTGTGAAGCCATCTTCTTTCTTGAGCCCCTTTATGAGCCTAAAGGACCGTTCTCCCGAGACCTCCAGTGGGTGGAAGGAACATGGCTTTGGAGGAAGATGTCTCCTCCCTCATTCCAGCCTCCAACTCATCCAAACCCACAGGGCCAGGAACACCACATTCTACACTGAACCAGAGTCTCCTGAGCTTCCTATAGGGTTTTGGGGAAAGGTTGGCAACACTTCCTTACACAGAGGTCTCCTTTTTTTCTTTGTTTTGCTTTTTTTTGAGACAGAGTCTCAAGCTGTCATCCTGGGTAGAGTGCCATGGCATCATAGATCATAGCTCATGGCAACCTCCAACTCCTGGGCTCAAGCGATCATCTTGCCTCAGTTTTTCTATTTTAGTAGAGATGGGCGTCTTGCTTTTGCTCAGGCTGGTCTTGAACTTGTGAGCTCAAACAATACACCCGCCTTGGCCTCCCAGAGTGCTAGGATTACAGGTATGAGCCATTGCGCCCAGCCAGGTCTCTTTTCTTAATACCATCTTATTTGCCAGTCACAGCCAGGGGGAGAAAAAACCCCAAAAACATGGAGCCAGAAAAACCTGGATTTGAATCCCAATTCCACAGTTAGTTCCCTTCTCTGAGCCTCTAGGCGGATTGTTGTGAGGAATGCATTTAAATTGGAGTCTGTGCCATGCGCTAACCACATGGTGGTTGATCACTGATGCCTCGCCCATGTCTAATGCCTACGGGCAGGCGGGCAGAAAGTTCCAGTCTTTTTTTTTCTTTTTTTTTTTAAGACAGTCTCAAGCTGTTACTCTGTGTAGAGTACAGTGGGGTCAGAGCTCATAGCAACCTCAGACTCTTGGGTTTAAGTGATTCTCTTGCCTCAGCCTCCCAAATAGCTGGGACTATAGGTGCCCAGGTGCCCAGGTCCCTGCCACAACACCCAGCTATTTTTTGCT